TTGGGGAAATAGCACGTGCTCTATAATTATGTAACCTCTTATGTAATCAAGGAGTATAAAAGCCTGTGCTCGACCGTTAATAAACAATTTGCAGCTTGCACTCAATCTGGTGGGTCCGTGTCAAACTGCCACAGATAACAATACTTTTTTTCAGATTGTCTAAATGGTATGAATAAGTCAAGAGAAAATTATGGCCGGTGTAAAACTGATGTGTACTTTGCCACTGACTTTGGTACAATTGAGATTTAACCTACAGAATAAAAGAATAAATAAAAGTTTCTCTTCAGAAGCTGGAATATGATCTCCTTAAAAGGAAGATTAGTAAAAACTTACAGAGTGCATAATATAGTCCAAAGCAGTCATGCATCAAATATTTACATGAGATTTTAGTCCCTGGTAACCAGAATACTCAAGGAGGGTCTCCAAAGTCTCAGAGTTCTGAAGAAGTAAAGATTGATGATTCCCATGCTAAGGAATGAACTTGCTTACAGGGAATTATAAGAAAATAATTTAGGGTTTCAATATCAGTTGGGAGATGGTGACATGTAACAGAACTATATAACAACATACAAATTTACAAATAACATAAATAGAGGCCCCTCTCTACCCCAAAAAGTCTAATACAGTTAAGGAATGAAGCAGAAAATTTTAACTATTGAGTAAGAAAGATGGACTGAAATAAACTTTCATTTGTTTTCTGGGTCAGGGAAGTGTAGGAGGTCTCTTTGTTTTCTTATGTCATTATTGGAGCTCTCTTCCTCTCCCTCAGAGGGAAATAGCTTTATCAGTTCCCTGCAGCAGAATATGACTAATTCCAGAATTAGATAACAAAAATCATTATTATTCAGGAGTTATCAAGCTCTCTACAGAAGTCAAAGGAGTTTTTCTGATGGTATATCAGCATATATTAACCTCATGTAAGATTGCTTAGTCAATCCTGATGGAGCACAGACACAGTCTTGAAGAAGTCAAGCCTTTTGTTTGCACCGTGTGTGCTAACCTGGTTCTCAAATTCTTAAAGGCTTCGGATGCAATCTTCTCCTCCTTTCAGTGATCTATGAACTATCATTTTATTTCTTGAGCAGTAGAGAAAGACTAGCAAGGCATTATGAAGAATTTTAGACAGTAAAATTTTTTTCGGTTAACATATTGCAAAGTCTCCAGTAAATGCCTTTGTTATTTTGAAATTAAATTCAAAATATGTAGAGCTCTGTTACCTGAGCCCTTTCTGAAACTGAAATTTTTGTGTTTGAAAACGCATACAGAAAATGCTTGAATACAAGGTCATGCTGAGTCTCAATACAGCATAAATAGATTTTTAGGGGATTTGTATTTTTGCACAGCCACTTCAAAATTTCTGAACACATCAGTCTTACCATGTAACTATTTATAGAGTAGGCCCATAGGCTGTCAGAGAATTGCAGAGAAGATTCAGGATCTGTAGGAAGCCCATCTATACTGCCCCTCTGCCTATCAGTAAAGGTTTCCAGCTGAGAAACACTAATTGACTGGCTGAGCAGTTCTAGTCTGAAAATAAAATTGAATGTATTAGCTTAAGTTAGCAAAAGTGGAGGACCTAGAAATGCTAATGTGGTCACTCAAAGTAGGTGGTTTTCACTTTCTAACTAGGCACTAGGTGCATACTGAAAGGAGCTCTACTTCATTGCTCTCTTTTTTCCTAATCTCTGTATTACTAGAACTGAAAAACAGTGCTGTTAATTAGGTTGGGAAATGGGTCTTAAATGTGTTGGAATATCTTATCAATATTGTCTCTTTATTTCAGGGAAGTGCATCTGAGATTTACTTGTGCTTTACTGTCTTCCTGAGCTGAAACATTGGCAGAACCTTAAGTATAGATTTTTTTCATTTCTGCTCAATAATTAATGTTAATCACCTGTTTCAGGGCTTCTGTAGAAAGAGAGGAAAAATGAGATAAAAGAAATGATAAATTAGTACTTTCTCATCCTTCTTCCTATTTCTCTTCATCTTCCCAGAGACAGGCAAACAAAATAAACATATGCTATATGTATGCATTTGAGCAAGGTGAGCACAGATAGGCAATTTGAAGGAAAAAAAAGAAAAAAAGCCCTTAAATAATCAGTAAATACAGAAAAAGATATATACAAAAAATAAATGTAAGAAAATCTTACAACAGAAGGATCATCATTGAACGAGTTTTATTTCAAAGTTTGCTATCCTGTACTGTAACTAATGAATCTCAACACTTTTAACTTATTTGACATACACAGATTTGTGGAAAAAATGCTAACTGTAAAACAAAATATAAATATTAGACAATCTGGAAATTATACAGAGCTACAGTTTCCAAACTATCCTGAAGGCCTAATAATTATATAAATAATTGTGATTTCTTCAATTAATTTCCAGTGTTTGTTATATTTATTTAAATCAGTTTACTGGAAAAATGAGCTAGGTAAATTAGAAAATAGTTGAGGGGTGGACTAAGGCATCCACCTTCAAAGAAAAATAACATACAGTTCCAGGGTGGAAGAGATGCTTATTTTTGTTAGGATGTCAACCTCTAATCCTGTATTACATGTGCATAACATAAATCCGTCAATTCTTAAAATGGAGAAGGAAGTATCACTTTTTAAGCCTTACCTTTTTATAAAGGTTTACATGGTAAGACAGTCCTCTTTTTTACTGTAGTCAACTATCTATAAAATACTCATATAGGTCATCCTAGTTCATCCAACTGAAATCTGTGCTGGAAGGAATAATGTGAACACTTACTAAAGCAGAAGGAAAGAGGGAGAGAGTATGCACACATCTGTAAGAGTCCCTAAAAATCTTTAGTTTTTATACAGATATGCATTAGAACATGTAATATTTCCTTCCCTCTCTTCCCTCTCATGACAGTACTTTTTCTAATATTTTTGTGGTGCTTTATTCATGAAAATTTTTGAAATGTTAGATGGGATGGCACAACACATAGCAGTCTTTTAGTCTTTGTTACTTTTAACAACCTAAAAAGCAGGTTGCTTTCTGCTTTACATTTTTTTTTCTAAGAGAAGATAAAAATGTATTCTAATACAATGATTATATGAGAACTGAAATCTTATAGTTAGCTTTCAGGCTAGATGCAGGAAGCCTTGGGGAAGAAAAAAATCATTCAGAGCTTCATTGACTTCCAGCACCTTAGCCCTCAATTCTAATACTTGACTACTTACATTCTTAAACTACTTTAGGGATTTGTATAAAATCCCCAAAAGGTTTCATAAATTCAAAGATATCAAAAATAAAATAAAAAAATAAAATTGTACATGCCATACTCCCTGAGTATCTCTACTTAAACACTTTGTTGAGAGAACTCTGAATAACCTCAAAAAAGCTCCTAAAGAATTTCTATTGAATTTCTGCCCATTATGGCTAAAAAAAAATGTAACCAAATAAATTTCCTTTGTGTTTTTTAATCATCCCTTAGGTAGTTAATAATGTCCTAGAAAAGATAAACTCACTTTCATTTGCTGCTGCAAGAAATAAAGGAAGGAGAAGAGAAAGATAAACAAAAGAATAGCGGAAAAACCCCTTCTGAAAAGACAAAGTAAGTAGATCAAACTAAAGCAGCAATAGTTCCTTACTGCAGAGGTTTGGAGGTTTCATCTGTTTAGTTTTTACAGTTTTGTGGGTTTTCTTAGAGTATTAGCATATGAGGCCAATGGAGAATTTCATTTAAGCCTCTCAATTACTCTTTGAGAACAACAATTAAACATGACATCAATGAGAAAACTAACTTATTTATACTCCTTTGGGATAATTTTAAATCAGAAAATGCTGCATAATGTTCTGACTTGTAATTTGCGGAAAATGGTTATGACTGCATTTTCCTATCAGGCACGTGGTGTTTTGCAAGGGTACACAGGGAAATGAGAAGGGGAAATCATGCAGAGCTCTTTTGCATTGTGGTAGGAAAGACATGACAACAAAAGACGTAAAGATAGAATAAAAAGAGGAATATAGACAGAGAGTAAATCATGTCCCTGTGGATGACACGAACCCAGCTTTTGTGCAGCATTGGACGGACATGATGGATTTTCCCATGGCATGCTGCACACATCCTATCTATGGAAAAGTTCAACCTCCTTCCCATACTATGATGTTTTTCATTTTGTATAAAACCCCAAACTATCTATCTTCTCTTAACAGGCTTGAATGCTATCTCTGTCATAACATCCAGTGAGGTGCAGTGCAGGCTGAAACAAGGCACTTCCCTGTTTCCTTACAGCAGCTTCTCATGCCAGCACATGAGCTTTTTAGTCCAAACAGAGCTGACATGTTTTGCCCAGGGTCACCAACTGCTTGAATGCAATGTCTTCTCTAAGGCTTCCTGTATATACTATTAAGCACTGCTTACTTTAAAAGCTGTTGCAAACCCAGAGGTTCAGGTAATCTATGTTGTCCATATAGCAACTGTACGTTACTTGAAGTACGTAATTGTCTGATCAGCAGTAGCAGGTGGAAAAAATTAGACCAGCTAAATTATAATTTGGAGGTACAAATGCAATGTTCCTTTAAAGGAAAAGAAAACCTTCAATATAAAACAGGAACAGAATATTTAGTAGGTACATAAATACAAAAGACAGGCTAAAAGGGCTCTGAAAAAATGAGTGCTGTGTTAAAATGCATAAAAATCCAGAACATTTATTCATAAAGAATTAGAATTCAAACGCTACTGGCTGATCAAAGCTTCAGCAATGGCTGAAAAAATTTCAGATAAAATTTCAATCAGCAAGACAACAGCTTGAATTCATGCTGCAACTTTTGGGAGATTAGAAGCCTTTCTATCTTCATTCTTTTTTCCTTCCCTGTATAGTTATTGAATTGGTGTCTGTACACAGATAAGTGCATTCGACTTTATACCTACATACTTTGTATAAGTGGTCATTTTCCTATCTTATAAATACGCTGCAATGACATAACTAGGACTGAATAAAAAAAATGCTTTCAAGGTTTTTGAGAAAAACATTGTCTCTGTGCATTGCACTATTTTACATCAAATTAACTACTGCTTTCATGAAAAGTGCTTCTGAAGGTTTGTGTAGGAATCAGAGCTATTACTCTAGAACGTGTATGTCCTAACAATTTTACTTTTTTTTTTTCCTCTACATCTATAGGAAGTCCTATAGACACAGCCACATTTTTTCATTTTGGATTTTGAAAGATTCATACACTGCATCTGTTTGGAATACCTTTATCTTGTATCCTATCATTAATAATATTTATAGAAGGAAAATATTTAGAGTAGTTTTATTCTACTTTCTTGCTAAACAAAGATAAAAATACATCTGTTCAACACACCAGTTTAACCGACTGGGTCTTGTAGACTTAAAGTTACTGTGTTCTAATATGTCCTTACCTCCATGCAGATCACTAGAAACACACCAAGAGACAACGTCTCTGTTCAACAGCTTCACCTGAGAGCAACCTACAGAAATCAACTGCTCTGTTCTCCAGAATGATCCACTATCTCAACAGCTTTTTGGTCATTAGATGCTTATCCAGGTGAACACTTTGACTCCAGATTCTTTCTCAGGAAGTTTAATGAATGTCCAGTTTCAAAAAAATGCTATCATTCTTAATAAGCAGCATAAGGAATGGGACAAAAATAGTCATATTTTGTGTCTACCATTTCCTCATTAGCTATAGGAATGTATAGGTCTGAGAGACAAGCTCAGACCTTTGATTCAGAAACCTTCTAGTGCCTGCATGTGGAATCACAAGTTTTACTAACACCACTTGTACTCTTTGGTCCCACTCCCAAAAAGAAATAGGCCTTCCTCTAACAGTCTTATTTTCCTGCATTTTCAAGCACAAAGTTTTTGAACATCTCCTCCACCCTTTGTCACCTCTGCCCTTTTTTTTCTTATTTGAGGAATGTTCATTCCGAAACAACACTTTGCAGGCTGGTTCTCCTATTCATGGCCAACTGTTTAATGAACTAATTTTTGCTCTGATTACATAATTTAAGATTGAAATTCTCTCTCTGAGCTTTAATGGCTTACAAAAGCCATTTTCTGATGAATATGCATTGAACTTGGTTTTAGTCAACTGGATACAGAAAGGCACTTCACAAATCAGCAGCATTCATAAATTAGTTCCATAATGTGTTAATCAGAGACAAGAAACAGTTTTATAATCTTCCTGTATTTGTCCAGTAAGTTAACAATTTCCTCAGCAGTGGTCAAAATTGCATATAGATTACTTCTATGATATTTTAGGAGGTTATTTTTTCTCATTTCTGTATATCTTCTCATCCATTTACCTGCAACTAAAGTGCACACTTAAACTGGCAGCCATTTAAATATAGCTACCCAGAATTTTAGGAATCATATTCAAATGCTTTGAGTATTAATTAATTTCTCTATGCTTCCATATGATTAATGAATAAATATTTTGATCAATAAAGTCTTCATGAGGAATGTACCAATACTTCATTGGCATTTTTTAAAACAACTGGAAAGTAGGTTTACTTTCAAAAATCAGATTTAGAATTTGATTTCATATATATTTCATATATATATTTAATTCCAAATCCTTCTATTCCTCCTAAATAGGAAGCCACCCTCCTCATCAGTATGAAAGTTGCTTTCCTTCAGTGGAGTTCTTTGGAAGAACCACCACATGATTCTTAAATAACTAGTTGCATCGGTGGAAACTAAATCTCTTCTTCCTCCATTGGTGACTAGTTGGCATTACTTAATGAGGAATGTATGCTTGGAGTGAATGTTGTACATACTCTATGGACTACAATTTGCACAAACATGAGACCTTTTTTGCACATGAGAACTTTGTAAGTACAGTAACTAGATCATAAATATAAGCCTACAAGCTGAAATAATCCACCACTGTTTAAACACAAAAGGCATAAAACTCACATATCTGAATTATTATGTACTTCTATTTCCACTAGTATTCTACAGGTTGCTGAAAAGGTAAGCAATTCTCTTACTCTTATATGATGCATTTTATAAATTGCTCTTTGTAAATCTTACTTTGAACAAGATTAAAAATTATTATTTGTAATACTTTGCCATGTTTTTAAGGAAAACCTTGATTCGTGTAAAATAGAGAACAAGTATTCTGACAATAAGTAGAAATTGCCATGACTTACTTTCTGCTGAATCTTTAAGTATCCTTTAATAATCTGCTGTACTGCATGCCTTTACTTTAAAACTGTTGAAAGTTTTTGCCTTGAGTGAGCTACATTTCAAACTTTGCTTACTCTTGTCTTTATGAGAAATAAGTCAAGTGCAGGATTTCGCTAATATGAGAACTGAATCTGCTTTCTTCATTTGCTGCAGTCTGGTGGGAAGGGGAGTGGGACCGCGACGCTGCGCAAAGGAGTCCGACAAGGTGTATATGTGTATGGCCAGTCTTCGCGAGCGAAGATTTGGGAAAGGTCATTAACCCTTCGAGCCTGCGCAGTGGATTTTTTTTTTTTTTTTTAGGTGAGACACAGCGTGCGCTGAACTGAGCCTTTAATCCTGAGGTTCATCTGCCGGGGCCGAGCAAGCTTGGACAGTGGCAGTGAGGGTCTCAGGACGTAGGTTTGTTTAGAGTGACCTTCTCTTAGATGGATTGCCTTACAGGGCTGACGAGCTCCATCTGCCCGGCAGCTGGGAATCGAACCTGGGTCGCAGCAGTGAGAGTGCTGCACCCTAACCACTAGACCACCAGGGGCCCCTCGACAAGGTAGAAAGTCGGGGTGCAATGGCTGTTTATTAAGGTAGAGCAGGGACTTATATAGGGGTTTGGGTCAGGGAGGCTTGGTAACAGGGGAGGGGCATGAGATTGGCATCTCAGGGTACAACAGGATAGGGAGACATAGGAAAGGAGGAGGAACTTGGGAGGATTTGGGCATTAGGAACCAATGGGGATCCACCCCACACTGCGGCACTCTTCGGCCAATCAGTGCAGGATGAACGGGAAAGTGAAGGGGTAAACAACTTTTAGCAAGAAAACAACCTTGGGCAAGCCTGGGCAAGTCCGGGGCTATACAAACAAATTGGATCAATACAACCAAGTGAGGAAAGTACATTAAACAGTGCTCAAGGTTAGATGTAAACAAGCAAGTCCGTAACATGGGGTTTCTTCAGGTGCTGTAAATGTCTCTCCATGCCTTGAAGCACTCCCCTTCAGATTCAGGTACCTCAACATTCAGCTTCATATTCCATCTGGATTCACTTACCCAGAGTATATTCCCAAGCATTACTAGTATAAATGATCCCAGCAAGAAATAATATCAAAGGAAATAAGCTTCTTCTCAACTTCTTTTCTTTCTTAATGATGGCCTTCATGACGGCCTTACTGTTATCATCATCTTCTTGTTCTTTCCTCATTTTTATGACATGGTTTCTATTTTGAAAAAGTTCCCTTCAAAATGTTAGCTTACCTCAACAACATTTGGATATTTTATATTCATAATTGAGACTTATAAAGATTCTACATATAACTCAGTCAAGGGATATTGATATTGAACAGCGATGCAGAACTATCCAGGCTACAGCTAAAGTGATTTGGTAAATGCTTATAACAGAATGTGGAACTGGGGAATGTGCCAGAACACATTGGGAAAGAATACGGCTTATGGGATTCTGTATCCAGGCCAATAAACTGCACAACAGAGTTTCATTGCATTTTCCTGAATTTTCAGTTCTGAAAATAGCCATCATGGAGCCAGTTGCTCTGCTGGTACAGACTTGAACTAAATTATCTCATAACAAATCAAATGGCAGATTAGTTTGAAAGAACTCCATTTTTTTTTTTTTCAGATAATTTGCAGGGAGACTGCACTTCTTGAAAAAGCTAATAATCATAAAACATATGGTCAGATTCTATTATAAAGGTCCAGAGTCCAATAATATTATGCTAACTATGCTTCACTTTTCTAAGCATCTGATTGATTTCAGTAGGAACAAAGGGATATAAATTTGTGTATTTTTTCAAAAGTTTAAAGATGACACCAATCAATAATTGTTCTCATGCATTTTTAAGGCACCAGATATATTTTTAAACCCCAGATACTTAGTTTTACAGTAGTTATTTCTAACATGGATGACAACTACAGCCAGGGAGAGAAATGCCATCAGAGACAAGCTCCAACTCTAACCTTCAAAATTTTCATGATTAACCAGATTCCCCCTGTTGACAGTAAAGTTGAAGTAGACTGGCAATTATTTTAAATTATAATAAAGTAAATCTTACTGTCAGGTCATTTACTTTCCTTTTTTCCACCTGTAGATAGTGTGAGGTTTATAAAGTAATGTGGTTTTGGCCAAATCTGTAAGTACAGATTAATTTCTGTCTAGACCGTTTTCTGTCTAGTAGTTTATGTCACTTACTCAAAAAGTTTTTTCAGTTCATACAACTTGGCTGAATTTACAGGAAAAACTATTATGATAAATGTATTTTGCTCCTATCATATATAATTTCAAAGAAGACATTAAAATACTGAACGGATAATAATGAGAGAAAGTATTTTTGATGCAAGTGCTGGCAAAGTCAGTGAGAAACAAAATAATAATTTTACATTTTTCTCCCAATACAGTATTTAAATAAGCACGTTTTATTTTGGACCTGAGAGAATCAGAGAATAACAGCTTAATGTCAAAGGGTAGACGTGCTTGAGAAGGAATACGGAGATAGAAAGGTAACAGATGGATACCATCAAAAACATTTCATACCGAAAAATCTGTAACTCAGAGGTTTTTTTATTCAAATAATCAACAAAAATACCAGAATTGCTAACTAGTTAAAAAGCCGTCACCATTCTGGAGGATTGTTATAAACTTCTATGCCTTACCTCCCCTTCTAAGATTAAGAAATTAATTTTAAGAGCTACTTAAAAGTTTGGTGAGAAGGAATCATATGAAGTAATATTAGACTTTTCAAGGCAATAGTGATGGCAAGGAGCTACTCGAATTAATTTCAAAAGCTTTTACGTTAACTTTGTCTAAATTTAATTCTCTTTGATTTTGAAAGTGGATTTAAGGAATCAGTCACCATTATTTGTCTTATAAAGTTTCTCTTAAGGTCCATAATACGGTGGGGGCTTTTGTGATTTCATATAAGTGGCTTACATGTGAATTTAGTGATCATTGCCCTTTAATGTCCAGATTATGGACCAAATGGTTTCTTCTCAGTGGAAACTTAGACCTGTTATGCGTGGCAGCAAGCATCCTGGTATATGCTTGGACAAACTCCTCAAGATGGAGATGGGATGAGGCTGAGATATTCCCTGATCCTCTGAACTCAGAAACTCTCCTTGATGTCCCAAGGACAAGGAATTCACAGTAGTGTTTAGCACATGGCATCAATCACATCTTGTTTTCAGACACAAAGTCTATACTTTCTGGAGTATATTTAAGGAAGGTGCGACATAATGGCAGAACAGTGATCTGCTGAGTTTTTTAGTTTGATTTCATTTTACGTTGTTATTCAAGCTGCTCTGAGCAAAGTCTAATCCTCCACAGTGAAGAAATAATAGCTTTATAAGGAGCTTTCAGATACCTAAAGCAGCAGAGCACAAATTTCATAGGAATGAAGCATTACACATCGGAGAAAATTATTAATCCCAAATCACTTTAGAATTTGTCTTAGCTAAATTTCTTCTCCAGGCTACAATATCTCATTTTTGTAAGCAGAAGGCTAATACTGAGAAACAAAAAGAAATCAATTACAAAAAGATATTTGTAAAGTAATATTCCTTAAGGTCTCACAGTGGCAACTCTTTTAACAACATAGGTTTGGCTTTGTGTCTTTAATTTAATTCTCAATATTCCACCTGTGTTTTCTTCCATTACAAGTCTTTTCTACTAGTAAACAATTCCTGTTAAGAAGTGACACCTTAGCTACAATAAGCAGTTTCCTCATTTTTAAGATGGTCTTATTTTCCTATCTCAAAACCTTCAGAAAATTGAGGGGAGTTTTCTGACAACTTACTCCCAGTAAAAGGAATAGTCAACTTTGGAGATTTCTTTGGGAGGTGGGGGATTTGGGATGTATTGACTAGAAAAGAGTATTATAATATGCTGTAAAATACTTCCAATATTATGGCTTGGTTTGCCATATTCTATTCAGAATACTGGATTTTTTAAGACCCGCTCTTTCTTAAAAACATATTAAAGAAAAAATGCAACTTCAACAAGAAAAAATTGTTGAAGTTCATGAAATGCTACTAATCTTATTACTTTTGGTAGTAACATAAAATTTTAAAGAAGTAGTCGTTATTCAAAATACTTCTATGTGATTGCAAGATGAAAGCCCCATTTATAAATGGATTCAGAAATAGAAGGTATGGCCAAAAAATGAGTCATCCTGAGGTGACAGTTTTGCAGTTAAACTTGGGCATGATCTTTAGTCCCATGATAAATGTAACTTCAACTGCTTTGATATAGGAGATGAATTATCCAGTTACATCACTAACACTACTGGGTATCTGCACAAGTTATAGACAAGCAGATGGCATAATTTGTGTTCTAGGTTATCCTATGGTAACTAATTGAATCAATTTGACCTTTGAATTCATTTCAGTCTCACAAACAAGGCAGAAAATAACACTTAAATACTTTAAAGCAAACAAAGAAACAAACACCAGGCTTGATAACTGAGGATTGAATAGGATGAAACCCATTGCTTAATGTCCTTGGAGAGTATTACACGAACTCCTTTTCCAGTAAGCAATTTTCAGATCAAAGTTGTTTAGGTTTTTGTTGTTGTTGTTTTAGTTTTGGTCTTGGCTGGTTTGGTTTCTTTTTCTATTTGCGCACACATAAACACCTCCAGTGTCATTTTTTTAGTTAGTCACTTGTCAACACTAGTCTAAGACACACTAAGAGAGCATGAGGTATGAAAATATGCTTAACTGAAATGTGACATGATCTACAATTTGCTGAATATCTTCCTCAGGTTTATTGTGATAAAAAGACTGTCTTACTAGTTAGCCCATCGTATTTAAAATGTAATCAAGAAATGCACTTCTCTGCCACTAACATATGTTCAGAGTTAGCTCCCACTCACTTTTTGTTTTTCCTTTTTAATATCAGGAAAATACCTCCCCAACATAATAAGCACAAAATCAGCTTGCCTTGTTATCTCGTGTGAAATCATTCTAATACTGCCACGGGGTTTTTTTCCCTGTATTCTTTGTTTCAGAGTATTTACCAGCAATTTTTAAATGACTATTCAAACCAAACAAACCGTAATTAAACACATTCTCCAACTGGCAATAATATAAACTAATATCACTACCAAACACACTAAACTTTCATCCTATTTCTTCAGTCCAGAGTAGAACCATGAAGAATCTTCCACTGAAGCCTTCCTTACATCTGCTTCTTTGTTTTCACTGAAAGTCTTGCTCAACAAAACTGACTACAGTTCTTAATTCAATTTGTGAACGTCTGAGCTCTTCAATGCTTCGTTGAAGCCAGTGATAGTTAGGCAAGTGTAGTTTCAATAATGTTTCTTTTTTATGATTTTTTATTCCACCTCGAAGTCCAAAGATTTCAAAGTGTTAGCTGATTAAATGTGTAATATTTGGTAGTTGTTTTTTCTTCCTGAGTTATTTGAATGATGTCAGTTGTCCCATGATCACCATGTTAAATGAGTAAATTGAAAATAAAGAATCACATACCAAACTAAATTTCATAATGGAAAGAATTTATTCAGATTTTAATATTTATGGCACTAGACGGTTGTCTTGGTTAAAAGTAATATATCACAGAGAAATTAAATAATCAGTTGTTGCTAGTTCTCTCAAAATACAATGTTACAAAGAAGAAATATTCCCAGCTGTGTGAATTTCACTAGTCTGTTAAAGAACTGTTTCACTTTAAAACCGTACTAATTCAAAGAGTAGATCAGAATTTTTAAAATTTTATGCAGGACATTTATGACATGCTTCAAAGCCCATGAAATAAAATTATTACATGTTTTTATCAAGCTTTATGTCTCCTGAAAGAAAATAAACAAAACCAAAATTAACAAACCAACCAAAAAAAAAAAAAACCAAAACCAAAAAAAACACCCAAACCAAAAATCTGGCTCACATGAGAAGCTGAAGATGCAAAGCTAGCCATAGATGCTGTTGTGATCCATAGAACCATTTCTAGCGACAAAAGTAAATATCAGTGAAATGATTTGATAAAGTCCTGAAAATCATGTCATGACACCAGTAACCTAACATGAAGGAACAAATCAAATTTCAGAAAAATATGTGCTGCTGCAAAGGTCTGTGGCTACCAGCTCCACTATATGCAAAGATATGTGAGTCATCAGACTCGTTGTGAAAAACATAGACTGGTTCTCATCTCTTTAGAAATAGGCTTATATCATCCCAATGATATCCTCTCAGTTTTGGTTTTATCAGGATTGAAGCCTGAATTGGAAAAAAAATTTGATCCCATATGACTGTTGAATTTGGAATATGAGGAATTTGATGTCAGCGCAGAAATACAGTGTATAATGTTGACATGACCAGCAGCATTGCATTGCTTGCACACAGAAGAGATGAGAGTTCTTGGTTGGTCTTGCATTCAAAACTGGAAACTCACACACTTCAATTAATAACAGTGTCTGTCTGTCCTGTAAGGATCTGATAAGTCATTGCTGAACTGACAGGAATTCCATGCAAGGCTTGTACTTTTGTCCTGCTTCCTATTCCCCAAGACAGTATCTTCTTGAATACCCTATTTTTGTCTCAATATATCTGGGAATTCAGAAAACAACAGTTTTTTTGGTCTCATCAATCACACCTGGTCAGCAGGTAGAGGGAGGTGATTCTTCCCCTCTACACTGCACTTATAAGACCCCACTGGCAGTACTGCATTCAGCTCTGGGATCCTCAGAACGAGAGAGACATCAATCTGTTGAACTGAGTCTAGAGCAGGGCCACTAAGATGATTAGAGGGTTGGAGCACCTCTCCTATGCAGAAAGGCTGAGCTAGTGGAATTGTCCAGCTTGGGGAAGGCTCCAGGGACACCTTAATGTGGCCTTTCAATACTTAAAAGACAGATGGAGAAATACTTTTCAGTACAGCCTGTTACAATAGGAAAGGGGTAATAGTTTTAAACCAAAAAAAAGGTAGGTTTAGGCTGGACATAAGGAAGATATTTTTTACTGTGAGGATGGTGATACATAGGAACCGGTTGCCGAGAGACGTTATGGACGCCTCATCTTTGAAAGTGTTCAAGGCCAGCTTGGACAGGTCTTTGAGCAACCTGATATAGTGAAGGATGTCTCTGCCCATGGCAGGGGGATTACACTTGATGATCTTTAGATTCCTTTCCAACCCAAACCATTCTATGATTATATGACAACTACACTTGGTTTTGTATGAGACACTAATTCTGCTGAACACACCTCCTTTTCACTTCAACCCACATACTCTTCCACAAAAACAATTCCATAAGAGGACGTGTGAGTGTTGCATATGAAGACCTTTCTTTTCATAGCTCTTTCTACCTAGTTTCACCCCTTACACTTTCTTCTCTTCAGCTAACTGAAAAATGGTAGGGAGATTTAGTTTCACATCTTTTAGGCAGGGCTTTCTCTTGCTTGCTAACAATCTGTCAACTAGGTGGACTTGGCAATGCAGGTTCAGTCCTGACAGCTGCTTCTTGTGACAAGGTGACTGTACTGTTGCACATCACCACTCTGCAGACGAGAGCGTCTTCCAGCAGAAAGGAAGGCACTAGAAGGGATGCTGTGTTCCCAGGTTCCATTTTGGCATGTATTGTAAGTCATGTCCAGAGCACATAATCCAATCTAGGAGGTGAAAATTCCCTCTGATCCTTCAGTGAACCTGTAGTCATACCAAATCACTGGCATTTGTCAGTTTAGTGTGTTTTAGAGAAAAGTGAACACATCTAAAGGGAAAGCTTTTTTTTGTTATATCCAGAACAGAAAAAAGGTCTGAAAAATAAATGTAAGGATACCCACCCTCAATGAGGGAAAAACGACTTCAGAATTAACTTTAGGATGGATTCTAAAGTTAGGAAGTGTTTCCCAAAGGGAAATAGGAAAGAGAAAGAAGTAATAAAGATGCAATTTTCATTGGAGTAATTTCCTGCAGACTAGTGAAGCAGCTCAAAACAAACTCTTTTCTTCTCTCTCCACCAAACTATTATTGGCCTGTGTGAGGTAGGAAGCTGCTATCTTTCTTGGCAAGTTCTCCCATAGCTCATGTGACTTCCTTGCTGTTCACAGTAAGACCAGTAACAGTGAAAGCCTCCTATCATCACGTACCTAGTGAAGAAAGACTGGAATTTTGGCCGCCTCCACTTCAAATGTTGTGCATTGATGGTATGGCATTCTGACATTTCCTTGAAGTTTGTAAATCTGCAGACTTTATGGAACTGCTAAATATGGTGCAGCACTGCCACCTGGACAGCAGTGAGGGATCTCAAGCCAAGAACCCATTGCCATCTCTAGAAAGGACAATATGAAGATAAAATGTGATGTTTCTGTATCCATATGGGAGGCCAGCAAAGATATTCACATTCCCACAAGATGTACTTTGTTTATGTGGTTTGACAAATTAAAAATACATAATAATAAAAAAATATACAAATGGCTGTATAAACAAAACGCGCTATTTTTCTGTAATTTGCTTGAAGTTTCAGCACATATACAGAAGGAAAATGGACCATGATCATATAACATGAACATCTGCATCTTACTGCTGCCAACAGTAAAGGACTGCCAGTCCAAATAGGTATAATAGCCAACTCCAGAACACAAAAATGCCTCTTGCCTTCTAACCTCTGGGCTTCTTCACTACCAAACAGTAGGAAGCCAACTTGAACAAGTGATGCCCTGCTGCTGCCCCAGATATCCCCATCTCCTGTGCCCTGAAATTGCTCCAGCTTGGCAAAATAGTGAAGCTACACTTACTCTCTTCTGTCTGTCCCCCTGGAAAATAGGCCATCTCTCTGTTCTCTTACTGTTGGAGATCTGTAAAATTACTAGTCATCTCAACAGGATTCTTCAGGTAGAGGAAAAAACTGGAAGACTGATCATTTACTAAGTACTGAAATTATGACTTAAATTTTCAATGGAAAAAACCCTTTTTCAAAGGTAAAAAGAGACCAAAAATTTATACTTCATGTGGAAACCAAAAAAAAGGAAGACTCACACATGTAATAGGCTGTTACAGGCTGTATCTGGAAGCAACACAAATATAGGTACATAAGTAGCTATTTATAGAAGTATATATACATACTCATGTATGGCTACATGTATCTATATTTCTAGCTAATTAATCTGTTTTGCTGTAATAATGCCGTTTGTTTTTCCATATTTGTAAACCCTTGTACAATCCTCTCTATCTGCCTGGGAAAACAAATTCTTCTGCTGTCTTAGAATTTCTCTTCTTTTTTCTACTTTCTGTTTAATACATCCTATCAGAAGATAGAGTATTCTAATACAGAAAACCTTCAAGATAAGTGCAAATGAATATTTTCAAACATTTAAAATATTCCTAAAATAAATTACACATATGGCACATTGACACCAAAGAAGAAACTCTTTAGAAAAATTCACTGCAGGCAAAACTGAATAGACAAGTGACACACTAAAAAACCATGGAAAATGAAAATAATGCACACATTGAAATGAAAGCCCTACTCATGCCATAGCATGAAAACTTAAAAAAGTAAAATGAAAGTAATAGGAAAGTGAATGCCATTTGGAAACAGAGACACTGCTCTGATAAAAACAAACAAAAAACCCCCAAACCAAAACAGAAAAAAGAGACGATAAACAAACAAAGAACAAAACCAAATTATAGTAAGCTTTTAAACCCACGATTTATCAAATGAAATTGTGTAATGATGCACAAGAATTATGATAATCAAAATCAATTGAAGTTTAAATAAATATCACTCAGATTGTCCTAAATTGTCAACTGCCCTGAACATCAATGACCTTTTCAAGTAATCCACAAGTCCAATTTTTTCCACATTTCCAGAAAGAGGCAAATCTATAGAATACATATATAAACACAAAAAGTTTTCAACAACAAAACCACAGTGAATGAAGAAAGTGGGCTCTTAATCACCTGCACTCCTGCCACTGTAGGTCTTGCCCTAAGAAGTTTCTGATGGGCCTGCTTTTTTATATCTAAATTAAAAATATTTTCAGGAGCCCAACTCTTCATGAAAAGCAAGATTTGAACATGCTGACATATTAAATAAATATGATAAAAAATTTTGCTACCTGGTCTTGCTCCTGCAAACAAAAGTGAATTCCAACAAGCATTCAAATTTTGACTGATTGTTTTTCATAGATGCTTTTTATCCCCAGATTGGTCTCTGTCCCTTTCCTGTTTCATGGTTCCCAATAGAAACATTTCAGTCTACCTTGTTCTTTTTCTCTCTCACAGCTCATTAATGCATTTCACAGCTGCCTACCATTACAAAAAGTTTAGTGCATATGGAAGAGCTGAAAAATAAAATAGAAGTCACTAGGGAAAAGAAAAAGATTCTAATGGCTACATTGCATGTATGTGGCTCTTTTAGTTACCTGGGAAATGGCTGTAAAGCATAATATGATTGTCATATTAATTCCCAGGACAACAGGTACAATTGAGTGTAACTGATGTAGACGTATAATACACTAAAAATAAATTACTGCCAGCTTTTCATTTTTAAATAGAAAGAAAACCAGGAAAATTAACTGTTGAGATGCATTTTTCAGAGGTTTGTTGTGAAATAAATTCTTGATTATCAGACTTACTTTGCTAGAATGACAAAAATCAATTCAGTTTCTGTAAAGGCAAGTTTATGAAGTGGCTCAGATGGCAATCTGCAAAGTGTGGAAAATCACAGCATAAAAATATAATGACAAACAGCAAAAGAGTTGAAGAGATTTGCTAAGTCATCAGCTCCAAACTCTTTCTATAAAAAGAAACTGTTATATGATCCTTCCCATAAATTCATCAAGCTTCGGTTTTCTTCCCTGCTTCTTTTAGAAAACCGTTCCAGAAGCTTACTCTTCTCTAGGATATGTATTGTAGAATCACAGAATGACTTGGGCTGGAGGGGACCTTAAAGATCACCTAATTCCAATCCCCCTGCCATGGGAAGGGATGTCTTTCACTAGACCAGGTTTCTCAGAGCTCCATCCAGCCTGGCCTTCAACACATTCTCCGCTGAATTACTATCTGTTCAGCTTACATGCATCAGTTCTTGTGCCAGCATTACCTTTTTGCTTAAATATTGATTCTCCAGCATTTACTCCCTATAATATTCATAGGTAATAGTTGTATTTCTTCTAAGGTTTACTTTTCCAAAATCTTTCAATTTTCTTTTGCCAAGTAGGTTATCCATTGTGCTCATTATCTAGTAGGCCAGCTCTTCACCTGTTTGCATTTGAACTCCATGCCCTATGATATTAAGAAAATAGTGTATTGATTTAAAAACTGACAACAAAGATAGTAAGAAACAGAAGAGGCCTTTTCTGGTTGTTGTTGCCTTTCTTATCATATTATACACTTCCACATGTCATAAAACTGAACAATTAATATGCTCTGACCACAGCTGCTTACAAGTAGACTTCTGTTCTGAATGCATCTATTCATATAGCCATACATTTTGCTTATATACACACATTTTCCAGATAATTAGATTCATTTTATAATAGATCAGGTGGCAGAGCTTCTAAAAATCTATTGGCTTTTTCTCTGCTGCCTTTTTTTCTAACTTATTTCTGTCATAAATTGCAAGGAAACAATTATCTTGATTTATATGTGATTGTACATACACATGTGACTGTTGAGGGAAAATAACCACAGTTAGAACATTTCATAAATCACTACTATTAAAAACTTCTTTGTTCCAGAGAAATCTTAGGAAGCACATTGTCCGATATTTGTGAAAGAAAGAAATTGTAAGTATGTTGTTGGGAGACTGCACTTAAATGCTTTGTAAATGCAAAGTTATCACCTAGAGTATGGTTCTCTGAGGTCAATAATTCACATATAGTGAAAAAAACCCAAACACAAAAGCAGAAGCTCTTGGCATATATACTCAATTCTCCCTTTTTGTGTATGTGCACAGGCATTCTTTCAATCACAGAATGCAGATGACATTTAAACACAGCAAACTACAATTGTAAACCATGTGTGTTGAAAAGCTATTGATGGCTAATGTACACCAAGCAACAAGCTTATGGATTGTTCTCCCTTGGAACAACAGAGAGACACCACCGCTCTGAGTTGAGTGCTGAAGAGGAACAAAATGTCCTTACTAGGGAATCACAGGTGTTATATTTTATGCTCATCCGTAGGATGGCATGTTAAGGAAGACATGTTAAACCAATGCAGTCTGGAGGTAGAGATTATATGACTTTATTAGACATCCCCATATTCAGCTGAATCAGGTTAGTTATTTTTATTTCCTTATCCTCTAGAATACCATCAGTCCATATTTCAGGTAAAAAAACCTCTAATGATATGTATATTTTGTTCAGGAAAAGCTATAAAAATTCATTTTGTCACTTTATATCTCCAGGTGCTATTTTAATGCTCAGTGAATAGGCAAAGTTCAGTGAAAATGGGAAAGAGAAACAAACAAACTGACAGCAAAAAACTGTTTTGGCTTATAGATCAGCTCAATAGTTAAAACAAAACAAAAAAAAATGGTGTAAAGATCAGTAAACTGGAACCAGTGAGTGACTGTCAGTTCAACTACTGGAATAAAACTGCTGGCCCTAAGTGCAAGTGCCTGAAATTACCTGGACCTCTGAGGTCTCATACATAGCCAAGCACTAATCACAGAAACATTTAAACAGGTTTTTTTTTCTGTTAATCTCTGTTGTGGAAACCTCATGTTCTCTCCATGTCAAATGGAGAGTATTTGATGTACAGGGACTGGTACAGTGGCTACAGATTTGCATCTGTCTTTACGTCCTTAAATAAAGATGAAAACTCTGATAGTGGGGAAAAGAATCCCTAAACAACAAGTGAGAAACAACCTGCAAATCCCAGAACAAGTGACCATGATGTCTGATGGAGAAAATGTCCACTCAACAGCTGTGAAAAGGCAATGCACTTAGGGTTACTATGTGAATTGGAAATCTTTCCCACATTTCAGGTGCTTTGAGCTAAATTCGCTTTTGACCCTTGAAATCTCAAACTTAACTGAACATTAAACTTTTTTCAGTTTGAATCCTAAGCACCAAAGGCTTGTCCTTTTTTTATTTAATGAACTAAGAAAAAACATTGATATTTCAAGTCCTCTGAGACAGAAATTCTTAAATAAAAAGATTTGTCTTCATGAAGAAATGGATGCTCTAAGAGCCAAAAGATTACCAAAATTAAGTTTTTGGTTATATATTCATATTTTTTTTCATAGTTAAATTTGACAATACTGCTGTGATGTCCTGTTCCAAGTAGCATTTAAACTACTAAATTACTTTCCTACCTTGCTGTCATTTATTTGTCAAGTAGGCCAGGAGTAAATAAGTATATGACACACCACAAGATGAAGACTCAAGATGCCTTTTTTAAAGTTATTGTCAAAGTAGACTAAAAATATTCATCTTTTGTCTAAAATGCATGTCACTTTTTTCCTACTTTATTTTTTTAAGAGAAGAAAAAATGTTGGTGTCTATTATCAAACTAATTTCACTTTAATTTCCTGTCATCACATTATTTTTTACTATACTACACAAAAAAGTGCCAATCTGATGGATAGATCTCCATTTAACTCTGAATAAATCACCATGTAAATACCTATTTTTGTCAAATGTGGCTTCTGTTAGCTCTTACATATTCAAATGTTTTGAGCTAGTATTAATTATTTTAGCCTACCCATTTTTCCTTCGTCTTTTGTTCTTTGGAAAAATAGCTGAGTGCTTTCCTCAACTCTATAAAGGACAGGACAAAGCTTAACATTAAAAAAATAACAACTGTGGTATCAGAACAAGTTCTTTGTCTTGAAGGCATAATGACTTGTAGCACGCAGAGTCTTTCTGGTAAGAAAGAAATAACAATTAAAAAAAGAGCTTTCAGATGCTAAATTAGCTGCTCAAGAGAGCTCATGTTGTTTCAGGAAAAAACAGAAATGCACACAATTTTGGCAATTTTCAACAGATTGGTTACTGCAACGTTGCAAAACTGTTCTTTGAGACAAATAAAAATGGTAGGCAACTTCAGAAAATGGCTTATACCACCAGCAGGTAGGAATTAGGGTCCTAACAAGATGACGGGAAACTTTATCTAAAGGATCTATTGGTAAAATTAAAGGTAAGACTTTCTTTCTTTGAATACCAGGACTTGGCTAAGCAGCCTGACACATGTCCTGTCTCATGCCACTCAAGTTATTTACATGGCTGGAGTACACATTTGGATTAGGCAAAACAGAATTGATCCAACTTTCCTCGTAGTTCAGGAAAAGTACAATTTGCTCTTCTACAAGGACTCACCCTGCCCTTGTGACCATTTGCAGGGATCAAGCTTTTGGCTTCTGTGCTGGTTTTGGTTGGGGTAGAGTTAATTTTCTTCACATTGGCTAGTATGGGGCTACATTTCGGATTTGTGCTGAACACAGGGTTGATAATGTAGAGGTGTTTTTGTTATTGCTGAGCAGTGCTCACACAGAGCCAAGGCCTTTTCTACTTTTCATACTGCCACACTGGCAAGGAAGTTGGGGGTGCGTGGGAAGCTGGGAGGACAACAGCCAGGACAGGTGACCCAAACTGACCAAAGGGATATTCTATACCAGATAACATCAAGCTCAGTATATAAAGTGGGGGGAAGAAGGAGAAAGGAAGGGACATTTGGAATGATGGTGTTTGACTTCCCAAGTAACTGTTACATGTGATGGGTCCCTGCTCTTCTGGAGATGGCTGAACGCCTGCCCACCCATGGCAAGCAGTGAATTAATTCCTTTTTTTTTTTTTTTTGCTCGTGTTCAAGGCTTTTGCTTTCCCTATTGAACTGTCTTTTTCTCAACCTATGAGTTTTCTAACTTTTGCTCTTCTGATTCTCTCCCAGTCCTACTGGTGGAGGAGTGAGTGTGTGGCTATCTGGTGCCTAGTTGCTGGCTGGGGTTAAACCACAACGGGTTCCTGCATCAGACTTCAGCTTCCAGTTACACACAGCAGTCAGAACCAGGATGGAGTAGATCAGCATAACATCCCAGAATTTTTCAAGTGACTTTCCTTAGTTTATATAGACACAATTCAGAATCACTCCCGTTTGCTCCACATCTGTCAGGAGACCAGGAATTTCTCCGTGGTTAATAACATTTTAAAATAGTTTAAAAGCACTTAAGAGAAAATGAGTGTTACAGAAAAGACTCACAGTCAAGAGAGCTGCAGAAATTTATAACAACTAAATACCTGGAATTTTATTCACATGAAAATGCAGGCACTGTCTATTACTTATAGATATGATACTAGAACAGGAAGGAAACAAAAAGTAGACTTCTTTATTTTTCTCCATAGGGTAAGATGTCAGATTCTTTTGGTCTATCTTGTCATTTCAATGTCATATACCATGCCGAAGGCATACTTTTCTCCTTTCTTAGATTCCAGCTCTTCCTTTAATACACTAAAAGCTATGTTTGCTGTATCTTGAATTCCTTTTTTTACATAAATTCTCTAAACATTCTTGGTAGTAGTATGCTACACAAATCAGGTCTTGGTGTAAATTAATTTTTAATTTCCATAATTTTACTTTTATGAAGAAATTTTTTAAAAAATATATTTCAGTTTTTCCTTCTTTAGAAAGAATGCATTTTCAAAATTGAACTACTCTGTTCTGATAACAGTTTGAGTTTTATTGTGATCTTTATAGAACCTTTTAATGTTTAAAAGAAAAAGTTATAATGAGAGTCCTTTGGACCTTTTTTGAAGTCTCCAGACAAAGGATAAATTAAGTGCTCATCTCAGGTTCTCTTACATATTTCCAAATGTCCCAGTTATAAACAGAAAATTCCAAAACTTTATTTTGATCTTTTGGAACTTACTAAGTTGGTTAAGTTTTATTGTATTTGTAAAGACTTCGGCATAACAGAAAATATTATCTGACTTTGAATGGAGATCTTGTTTTGGGCACAATACATCAAAAAGAAGTATACAGGACAATCACCAGACAAACTGCAAGATATTTGCATGGAAAATGTACTGAGTACTGTACTTGTCTTGAATAAAAGTAAGCAATGCTGATGCTGCCAGGCTAAAAGGAAGACAGACCTTGTCAATCAAACCAGACTACATTTGAAGCTATAACTGATTATATGAATAAGATGGAATTGTTTCACACAAAGACAAGAATTTATGCACGAAGAAATAAACATTTCTGTAGCGCAATTATTACTGTGCATACATACAAAATATGTACATAAGATCTGTAGCCAACTAGCAAATGTGTAGTAGAAAGTGTGAATTCATATTGAATACAAAGGAGGTTAGGCCAACAATCTGAATTCAAGCTGCTAAATGGATAGAATATGCTGGCATCTTTTTAACCAGCTGTATACCAGTGTTTTGCTTCCTATCAGACTACATGAATGAAAACCCCACATTGGCACTTCTGATACCACAGTAGGTGCCAGCTAGACAGTTCAGGAAAT